TGGGCACCTGCCACCTACTGGACAGTGTGACCGTTCTAGATCATTCTAGAAGGTTTCAGATCATTCTAGAACTTTCCAGACCATTCCAGTCATTTGATCTGATGTGGTCTTCAAGCTATACTTTATTCTTCTGTGTGATTTTCTTTAACATATGGTACTGCGTGTGCTACATATGACACCATACACTCATGTCAAGTGGCTTATGTGGTGCTGCTCCAGAGAACTGCCAGACACTTTAAAAAAGAAAGCTGGGCACTGGGGTACACATCTGCAATCCCAGCACTCGGGAGGCTGAGGCAGGAGGACTGCCATGAGCTCAAGGCCAGTCAGGGCTACAGGGCTGGGGATGTAGCTCAGTGGCGCCAAGCCTGCCTAGCAAGCACAAGGTCCTGAGTTCGATCCCCCATACTAGAAAAACTAAAATTTTTGCCAGGGGTTTAGCTCAGTGGTTCTGCTGCCTGCCTCGAAAGCACCAGTACCAAAAAAAAAAAGAAAGAAAAGAGAAAAAATTTTTAAATACCATAGTGAGACATTGTCTCAAAAAAACAAAATTAGTAAGTAAATATTTAAAAATAAAATTTAAAAATAAGAAAAACAGACAAGTTAGGCTAATGAGAAGCAGCTCCCAGTGAGCAGCAGGATGTGCCTGGTTTCTCCCAGAGGTTCTGGAATTCTGACAAGTAAGACTTGAAGGCAGACAGGTCAGGGTTGAAATCCTAACTTTCTCTTATTTAGGCTACACACTCTCCTAAAACTCACTTCTAAGAATCCGTCCTAGGCTAACCGCCACTGCAACAGGGGCTTGCAATAGTAAAAGATGAAAAAGAAAGAAAATAGGATTCAAACTAAAGGTCCAAAAATGGTGGCAGCCGGGCACGGTGGCACACACCTGTCATCCCAGCACTCGGGAGGTTGAGGCAGGAGGTGGCCAGGTGGACTACACAGGGAGGCCTTGTCTCAAAAACATGAAACCAGGGCAGGGGATTTAGCTCAGTGGTTTCGCCGCCTGCTGCGCAAGCACAAGGACCGGAGGTCGATCCCCGGTACCAAAAAAACCCATGAAACCTGAGAGGCACAGCCACAGCAAAGGCAGCTCAGGGACAGACGCCGCACTGGTCTCCGTGGAGATGTGGGTCACTGTGTCACTCCTGCAAAGAGGTGAGTCGGGTCAGAGCCGGAAGACGGAGCTGAACCAGGGGCCCTCGGCCTGCCTGCTCCTCTACCCCGCGCTGCTCTCCCCAGCCAGGCCCAAAGAAGAATGCGGCATTAAGTGGGCCGCGTCCCCTCTCCCAGGAGCCTGTAAATCGGCCCTGTGTTTCCAGCACCCGAGGGGAGCAGCTCACAGGCAGCGAAATGCCAGGCGGACAAATTTAGAGCCAGGCCGATCCAACCCGGGCCACAACCCCGGCGGAGGATTCCGCCCGGATTCACAGCAGTGCAATTAACCCCGGGCTGCGCCCGAACACTGAGGGGCTTCAGCCGATGAGAATATCATCCAGTGTCCCGCCTCGGCCAATAATAGCGACGGGACACAATGCCGCCCTTGGCGGCCCTGGACGGGACGCCGTCATTTACATAGGACATTTCGAGGGCTCTGAGACCCGGCCACAAAGGCCTGATTGAGACCCGCGGCTCCCTTTCCCATAAACTTAAAAGAAGAAAGAAAAGAAAAAAGATGCCACAATTTCCTTCAGAGGGGAGGACGGACATCCCCACCCTCGCCCAGGGCTCCCGGCTGGCGCCTCCTGATGCAGATCAGAGAGGCCAGGGGCGCGTGACCATGGGTGGACACCTGCCGGTGACTCTGGGAAATGCGAGGACATGGCCATGCTCAAGGCAAACCTGAGGGTTTAGCAAAGGACATGAAGAGGCCTGGGAGGGTTAAAAAAACTCTGAAAGCCAAGCCAGGCATGGTGGCGCTGGCCAGTAATCACAGCACTCGGGAGGCTGAGGCAGGAGGATCCCCTCGAGTTTGAGGCCAACCTGGGCTACATAGTAAGTTCACATCAGCCCAAACTACAAAGGGAGACCCTGTCTCAAAAAAAAAAAAAAGAAGAAGAGGGGGAGAGTCTGGTTATGGAAAGTCCTGAATGAATAACCACTTGTTCTTTTTCTAGCTCAAGCCTCCCCCCGTACTGCCAAGTTCTTAGGCGCGAGCACATGCTCCTCCCGGACCATCCTGAAAGGGCGGCCGGTGGGAAGGTCAGAGGGGAGGTCCCCACCAAGGCGGAGCGGGCTGAAGGGCAGAAAAGGGAGACTCAGGCCCAGCTGGCGGGTTCTTTTCAGCCAGGCCAGGTGAGGCTGTTCCCCAGCGCAGGAATCACCAGCACCAGCGCCAGCGCCTGCGCCTGCAGCTGGGAGCATAAGTCCCAGGAGCACCTGCTCTGCACATGCGCCTAGGAGCCCAGACTACGCACATGCGCCAAAGTGTCCCCGCTTCGCACCTGAGCCAAGGGTCCCTGAGCAGCACGCACCAGAGGCTTTAGCGGTCGGGTGCCCATCCCGAAGGCCCAGGGACGCCACGGGGCGTCTTCCAGGTCCCGGCTCAGATCCGAGCCACACCCTCTCCTCCTTCTCCTCCGTCCTCGGGTCACCAGCAGCCCACCCACTTCACGCCACTGCCCTGGTTTCACCCACCTGAGCTGATTTCCTCGGATTTCCTCACTCGCCCACCCACAGCCACTTGGGAGGGGCTCGACCTGGGTCACCCTGCTCGAATTCAGACACAGGGCCGCAGCAACACCAGAGAGACGGGACGGGTGTGGCTGGGTCGGTACCACCTCCTTCCTGTCCCACGGCACCACACAGCTCATGCCCCTTACATTTCTACTTCCAGCCTCAATGTCATGCTGAACTCCAGGTTCTTGGTCCCCACAGGCTGGCTGACAGTTCCATGTGGACGCCTGATAGGCATGGCAAGATAAAAAGTGCACACTCCCCCTCCAGCTCAGTCTGCCCGTTCCAAGCTGCTGCTTGCCAGGGCACCAACAATCATCAGCCCTGCCCCAGGGCCTTTGCACGTGCAGCTTCCACACCCCCACACATGTTTCCTTGACCACCACATTAGAGCAGCACCCACCCCACCCCCTTCACACCAAATCCCCTCGCTCTATTTCACTTCTCTGCAGCTCGGAAGGCCACCAGTGCTGTGCTTCCCTTGTATATTTATCTCTCCTCCTACACTGTAAGGACCAAGCCTCTCTAGTTGTGTCTATTTCCAGCTCACACACATCGTCCAGTGCAGAGCTGGTGTCGAGCAAAGTGTGTGCTGGATGAATCAGTTAATTGGTGAATTACTTCAAAGCAAAAGACAACAAGAGATCAGGAAACAAAGTCGCACCTGGGGCTGATTAAAGGGCTGTCAGAAGGGCTGGTGCCCAGCTGGGGCAAGGTCCTGGGTCCTGTGCACAGCAGGCAGCTTGGGTGCCTTCCTTGGTCTGTGACCTGCTTCATGATGTGGGAGCAGGGGAGCCTCCAAGTCGAGGTTGAAGGATGAGAGATGAGAAAGAGGGAGAGCCTCACAGCCCAGCCATGAGAGCAGTCACCAAGCATGGACACCAGCAGCTCGCAGGCAGGGACCGCACCACACGACTATGCATCTGGTCCCAAGCCCAGATCATTGCAATGAAAGGCGCCAGGTAAACGAGCAGGAGCAATGGCACTCGTGTTCGAAAGACTGTGCTGGGAAGCACATCCATGCACACAGCTGGAGAGGGCAGATCAGGGCACACAGGCCTGGAGCTCACTGCTTCCCCCCTTCGATGGAGCCCCCCCAGTCCATGCATGCACAAGGCCCCACTGGAAGTACTTGGGATCTCCCAGTTATGCTGCAGAGACCACCAGGACGCCCACAGCACAGCCTGCTGTGGCTTCCCATGACGCCCACTCTCTTCTCTCCTTAATCACAGGATCTCTGACTAGTTTTACACAGTACGCTTGAGACTACATTTCCCAGCATCCCTTGCAGCTAGGCTGCGCACGTGACTGAGTCTGCGGCGGCAGCAGGACACAGGGAAGCGTCATGGGACTTCCAGGAAAGTTGGAACAGCCTCCTTGTGACCTGCACCTTTCCTCCTCTGCTGACCTGGAGCTCTGGCGGGAGTGTGGGAAGGTGGAAGATGACAGCCGGGGTTCCTAAGAGTCCTGCACTTATTGATCCGAGAGAAATAAAACCTTACATCGCTGCTCTGTTAAATGACTGTTAACCTGGTTTGTTGTTAAATGTCACATAAGCCAAAACAAAACTGTCCCTCCAAATCCTGCCCCCCATCTCTTACTTCCAGCCAAGTCCTTAAAAAGTGAAACATCAGTCCAGATAAAAATCCAACATTCCTACACATTAATCTGTTTTACACGTGGATGTCCAGGACTTTGTATACTATCATCTCTATCACGCCTCCAAAGAACAGGCAAGGAGACTCGGGGCCTTTGCTAATTAAAGGAAGAATGTCCCCTGGGCTTACAGGAAGGCACTCACGGGCTTTCAGGAATCCGGGCTGGGAAGGGAGTGAGTAATGTTAGCTCCCACATGGAGGGGAAAGGAGAGAGCTGGACTTCAAGGTGAAAACAGCAGTGCTCATCTTTACCGATTTCATTCTTTCTCTTACCCAGCTAAAGATGTATGTTGAGAAAACTGTGCTGGCCAGCTACAGCCCTCAGTTTCAAAAATCCCACAATTCTGCCCAGGCATGATGGCACATGCCTGTAATCCCAGCACCCGGGAGGCTGAGGCAGGAGGCTCACCATGAGTTCCAGGACAGCCTGAAATATAAAGTGAGAATGTCTCAAAAAAAAAAAAAAAGAAAAGAAAAGAAAAACTTGTAATAATAACGTGGGTTAGGTTTTATTGTGATCCCGAACATACACAGAAACTCGGATTTGGAAAGGTCAAAGAATTGGCCTGAGGTCCCTGCTGGTTAAAAACAACAGTAACAAAACAAAAGTGGGGGAGGGGGAAAGGGAAGAAAGGAAAGAGCAGTTCTCCCTCTTTTCCTTCTATCTTGCTCTATGATCTGAATTTTATAGAATTGTTTATGCATTAGTCTGACAATTTCATTTTTATCCTTTAAAAATTAATAGTTCTTTTCCACGGCTCTGAGAAACAACGGGACCGGCCGAGACGCGCCCAGGTCCTCCAGGCTCCAGGGGGCGCTCGCCGAGACGGAACAGCCGGACCTCGGGCACCTCGGTCCCAGCCTCCGACGCTCCGGGCACAGTGCACGAGACCATTGTGTCATCCGGCCTGTTCCCAAGAGAGACGTGAAGTCCACAGTCACATCCTAGAATCCTGCCTTCAATTCACTTCGGAACCACCTTTCATTTTCAGTGGTCCTTGAGAGCAGCTTTAATTTTTCTCTCTGCCAAGACCAAGGAGTGGTGGCCCAGGGGCTCAATCAGGCTGACAGGTGACCTTGAGTCACCCACAGCACGTTCTGAAACAAAGCCAAGCCTTTGTCACAAGGGAGAGATTTCACAGTCCAACTCCAGATTTCACCAGGCACGGCGGTGGAGGCTGAGGCAGGAGGATCACTGTGAGCTCAAGGCCAGCCTGGAATACATATTGAGACCCTGTCTTAAAACACAAAGAAGCAAATGAAAAAATAAAATCAGCTGGACACACTCAAGTGCCAACCTTGCTCAGGCAAAATCCCAGGCGCTCTACATACACAGCTGTATTTTGTATTTGTCACCACCCAGGGTGTGGGTCCCATCCACACACACCATTTTTACCAATGAAACTGAGACCTGGAAGTTAATCTGCCAAGGTCAGTGTCAGTGAGCTAGAACCAGGGGACAAAGACGACTAGCTCTTCCTTCCCACGTTCTCTGTGGAGACTGGGTCTCCAGCTGCGGGTCCAACCCCAGGCCCATAAGGTCCCTCCCGGTCCTGTCAGTCAACCAAGAAAAGCACTTTGACCTGGCATCAATTCTCCCTGCTCCTGGGGGCTGGTCCGAAACCGGCCGGCCAGCAGCACACACCTCAAACCTCATCTGTACGAAGAAACAGGGCCACAACCTGCAGTTCTCAAAACCCGAACACAGAATCTCAAACACGTCTGAAAAAGATAGAAGTGGTCCTTGTCACATTTGCCCTCTTACGAGATAGACCTGCTGAAGGCCCCATGCACAAAATCCATCCGAAAGAGGCACAAAGGAGGGGCCGGGGATTTAGCTCAGTGGTTCCGCCGCCTGCCTCGCAAGCGCAAGGACCTGAGTTTGATCCCCAGTACCAAAAAAAAAAAAGAAAAAAAAAAAATTCAGGGCTGGAGATTTAGCTCATTGGTTCCCTTGCCTGCTGCGCAAGCACAAGGACCCGAGTTTGATCCCTGGTACCGAAAAAAAAAAAAAAAAGAAGACTCACAAAGGAGGGCCAGGATTTAGCCCAGGGGCACCGCGCCTGCCTCAGAAGTGTAAGGTCCTGAGTTTGATCCCCAGTTCCAAAAAAAACTCACAAAGGAAATGTCCTTATTCCTTCCACAGAAACTTAAAAGCCTGTCTCTCAACCCTTTTATTTCTTTCTTTCTTTCTTTCTTTCTTCTTTTTTTGACACAGGGTCTCGATACATAGACCGGGCTGCCCTTGAACTCACCATGTAGCCCAGGCTGGCCTCAAACTTGTGATCCTCCTGCCTCAGCCTCCCAAGTGCTGGGATTAACAGGTGTGAGTCACCAAGCCTGGCCCCGTACATCTTAACAGTTTGTCCTGTTTTGTTGTGTTATTTTTAGTGTCCAATTCCACATTACTGAGAACACACGGCCACGAGGACTGCGCTGTGATCTTGCCGGCGGCCCTTCCTTTCAGGGCAGACCCTGTCCCGGGATCTGGTACATGCTCCACCCTCCCCAGCGATGCCATCTCACCTGCATCCGCCCACGGCCACAGAACACTGCCGCACACCCGGAACGGGGCTTCTAAAACCCAAGCCTTTCGTCTCACTCACTCCCTGGCGCCGGGTCATGCAAGCTCAGGTGCCGAGGACACAGCCAGGAACTTGCAGGCATGTGGGTCAGGCCAGAGGGACAGCGGGATGGCAGTGCCTGGGCTGAGGGGGAGCAGCGAGTGTCCCAGCTGACGAGCCTGGAGCCGAACACGAAGCGGCACAGGGCTGCGACCACTTACACGGGTCAGGAGGTGGACGCTCGGACGACGCTACAGAGGGTGGAGAGCTTTCGGCGGCAAAGAATTCACCAGCGTCTCCTTGGTGACAACTCCTCCTGCTCTGCACGCCTCGTCTGTTCTGGGGCCATCCCAGTGTCGGGCCATCTGGACGGTGACTAACACCCACCCTAAGCCTGCGTGTATGTACGTGTGTATGCCCGCGTGCATGTTTGTGTGTGTGTGTGTGTGTGTGTGTGTGTGTGTGTGTTCTCCCACACCCTTGGTCAGTCACCAGCCTCGCCCTGACGCCACAGCCAGGATTTTGGAATTGAATTAGATGCCAACTCTTTTTGTTGTTTTTTTTGGTGTTTTTGAGACAGGGTCTCCCTATGTAGTTCAGACTGGCCTAGGGCCGGGGATTTAGCTCAGTGGTTCCACCGCCTACCTCAAAAGCAAAAGGTCTCGAGTTTGATCCCCAGTACCAAAAAAAACCACAAAAACAAAAACAAAACCACAGACTGGCCTTGAACTAGGTAGCCCAGGCCAGCCTTGAACTCACAGCATTCCTCTTCCTCAGCCTCCCCAGTGCTAAGATTACAGGTGTGCACCATCACACCCAGCTAGATGCCAACTTTTAAAAATTATCAGATGTGCATTAAGCCAGGTGCACTGGGTCCTATCTGATCCCAGCACTCTGGAGGCTGAGGCAGGAGGATCACCATGAGTTTGAGGCCAGCTTGGGGCTACACAGCAAGACTCTGTCTTAAAACAAAACAAAACAAATTGTTACAAAGAACCTGGGCTTCCTGGGGCTGCAGTTTTATGTAGTAAAAAGAAGCAGACCAGCAGCAGAGGCTTCAGCTTCCCGCAGAGCCCTCTTCTCTTCTCCAAGCCTGAGAATCAATGTTGCTGGCCACGACCACCTTTCAGCAGACACCTCCTGCGCCCCAAAGGCCTCAGCCAGGCTGAGTGGGACCGGCAGCCCCCTGGATTCTTGGACCTTCCTGTTCCCCGCTGGCCCCTCATGCGGCTCGCTCAGCCACCTTCAGATCCAGGACCTCCTGGTGCCCCTGAGCCGGGCCCTGCTGCCAGGTGGGCAGCAGAAGGCCCCCACCTGAGCAGCCAGCCTGGAAGAGACCAGACATCTGCTCTAGCAGCACAGGCTGGGGGCTGGGCTCTTCTGGTCACCCGCTGGGGGCAGGAGCAGCTCACTGAGCCACGTCCCTGCCATCACAGTACTGTGGGCCTGGAAGGACTCGAGTGGCCCTGCCTTAGACCACCCAGGGTACAGGAAGTGACAGCACCTAGCTGGGAAGCAAACTGTGCCTGGAGGTGCCTGAGGCCCTGCTGCAGGTGGTGAAGCAGGCAGGGCAGGGCCCGCTGGCTAATCTGCCAGGGTGAAGCTGTTGTTTTCTTGTTTCTGATACTGGAGATTGGATCCCAGGCCTTCGCACTGAGCTCCATCCCCAGCCCTTTTTATTTTTTTATTTTGAGACAGGGTCTCACTAAGTCACTAAGTTGCACAGCCTGAGCTCGAATTTGAAATCCTCCTGCCTCAGCCTCCCAGAGTGCTAAGATTACAGGTGTGTGCACCACTAGGCCCAGCTCAGCGTTGGATTTTGAAGAGGATTTTTGAAATGCAAAGTCTTAGGAGGATACGAATAATCAAAATTCTTGCTGTGACTAAAAAATGTTTGGATCTCATAAAACTATGACCAAAGAAATCATAAGAGACACTCAATTCCACTTTAATTAGGGGCAAACTTCTGAAGCCCAGGAAGAACTCTGACTCAGAAGGCACAGATTTAGCCTGTGAATGGTTTTTCCACTCAGCGAGGCAGCAATAATGCAAACGAATGAATGGGTGCTGGTGTTGGGGAAATTCCTAGTGATTATCAGCACGGAAAAGAGAGGCAGGGCATGGAGGAGGAGGCAGGAGAAGGAACTCCTCCCAGAACCCTCCAGTCCGCGTGTGGCATGGCGTCCTGAGGGGGTACCTCTTGCAGACTTTCTTGAACTCACTCTGTAGCCCAGGCTGGCCTCAAACTCAGGGTGATCCTCCTGACTCAGCCTCCCGAGTACTGGGGGACAGTGCATGGGCCCCTCACAAGTCCAGGGAAAGGGGCCCCCTGAGGGGACACCATGACCAGAGAGCTCTCCGAACCTCTGCCACCGCCACCCAAAACTGTGGGGCCTCACACCTTGGCTGCGGAGCTGCTGCCAGCTGTCCAAGCCCACATTTGCATATGGGGCCGTGACATCTGGCTGCCACTTAACGGTCACCGAGTACGACTCAGGGTGGAGACCGCCCCACAAGGAGAGCGGTATTTATTGTCTTTGGACTCCACTGCCTGAAATCTGAAATCTCACCAACTCAGCTCTGAGAAACAAAGGGAAAAAGAACCCCACTAAATCACTCTCTGACCAGGATCTCAGGACAAGCCCGCAGCTGGCATTTTCTAATTTCTGTATAAATACTGGAACAGTTGAGAAAGACAGCGATCTCAGAAATCATGCCATTTTGATAGCCACATGACAAGGCCCAATTATTTATTTCACTTTATTCTACTTCTTATCTCAAATACACAGTTCCTTTTCCTTGAACAAAAAAAGAAAAAATCCGGCTCTTAAACAATATGGATCGCAAAGCAAATATCACAGGCACCAAAACAAATCTTTCCTGCAGAATTTTCAGTTCCTCTCTGTCCCCGCCACACACAGAGCCGCTTCCCAGACCTATGGAGGTGCACAAACCACCCGCCCACACCATGCTTATCTCCCGGGGCAGTGATGGCCGCTTCACTGCTGATTTCTAAAAGCAAATCAGCCTTTCTCAAATTATTAAGAAACAATTGGGGGGCGGGGCGTGAGTAGTACAACAGGAGGCAAAAAAAGAAAAGCAAGAAAGTAAATGCTCCACACCAGGTGTGTGCCACCACCTGTAATCCCAGCACTGAGGAGGCTGAGGCAGGAGGATCACATGAGTTCCAGGCCATCAGCCTGGACTACAGAGTGAGTTCAAGATTGGTCTGGACTACCTGGTGAGACCCTGTCTCAAAAGACAAACAAAAAATAAATCCTCTGAAATCGTAGGGGATCCTGGGGACAAGGGCCACGCTGTTGGCACCCTGATAAAATGTCCCATCACAACCCAGTCCCAGCCTCAGCCCAAGTTTCTGTCTTTCACCTTCCAGACTTGGCCAAGGAGCTGGCTGTGGGGCCAGGGCCGCTCCAGGAAGTGGGGCATTGGGGCAGGCTGAGGGGCGGACCAGGGGCCGGCACCAGGGCTCAGCTGGGTGGGGAGAGCCAGGCCCTGCTGCCCCGCCAGCTCTGCAGTGAAACCAGGCCAGGAGGCCACCGGGTAAGTTCTGGTGGTCGGGAGTTAGAGACCCAAGGCCTTCGGCCCCGGCCTCACCACCTACACGCCCACACACACAGGCCTGGACACATGCACACCCGCGTGCACACGGATGTGCACACGCACCCCCCCATAGCAGGACAGCATGGGAGGGGAGTAACTGTTCCCCCTGCCCCTCCCAGGCCCAGGCAGAAGGGAGGAAGGAAGGAAGTAGGCCCACGTCGGGTATGCCCAGGTATCCAAGCCCTGGGCTGCTGTTTGCATGAATGCAGACTGTGACCAACTTGTACCTGGCCAGGCCCAAAGCGGAAAGGAAAAGGGGCGGGCACGCATCGGATCCAAACCCCATCCGCCCCGCCCCGTCCCCGCCCACCGGGCACGGAAGATCCGGTTCTCACCTAACCTGTTCTCCTGCACCTGCTCCTGGCTGCAGTGTGGGCTTCTCCACTGCCTCTTACCGTCGCTTTTAGTAAATCTTACTACTGCTCGTATGTGATTAAAACCTACCCGTTCTGCCGCCTGCCTCGCAAGCGCAAGGTCCCAAGTTCGATCCCGGTACCAAAAAAAAGGAAACGTCTCCTCCTCTCAGACTGAGTTCCCACTCCCTGCGCGAGGACTTCACGCGGCAGCCACTGCCCAGCCCCCCAGCCTCAGCCCCAACCCTGGATGCTGGCCCAGCCGGCCTCTCCTCAGCAGCGCCCTGTGTGCCTGGCCCCCAAGCCGGGTCCCCAGTGAACGGCTGCCTGCCGAGGAGCAGCGTGGAGGAGTTTCCGAAACACAGGGGCCACGAGCCCTTTGCACAAGCAGCCCGGAAGCTCCACACCCGTCATGAAACCATGCGGCTCCTCGGCAGGATTAGGGATGGCTTTTATGCCCGATTTTATGCTTTTCCCTATTTTTCCAAGTTTCACATAAAGAAGCATAAACTATGTTTGCATTCGTCCACCCCGCCCTGTGCGGCAGATCATTGATCTTTAGCATTTTGGTTTTCCCTCTGTCAGGGCAGGAATAAATTTACATTTCCAAAGTGCTTTATGGTTTATAAAGTACTTTTCTGGGGGGAAGAGGGTATCGAGGATTGAACTCAAGGCCTTCACTAAGTTTCATCCTTAGGGTTTTTAAAATTTTTTTATTTTGAGACAGATTTACTAAATCACTAAGTTGCCCGGGGTTGGTCTCAAAACTGCAGCCCTCCTGCCTCAGCCTCCCAGAGTGATTAAGCACTTTTAAAACCAAAAAGCTTCCCAGGAGCCAACAACAAAGTCCTGTGACTTTCTCCTTTCAGACAGCCATGCCGTGGGATAACCCTGGCCTCAATACAGAGCTCTGTGGAGACGGATGGCACTCTGTCCTGTCCCCCTACCATGCGCGACCACCCTGCATCGGCCTTGTCCTCCCCGGGACTCCGGCACCACAGAACAGGTGGCCTAGAATAACATGGACAGCACAAAAGAATAATAAACAGTCAAAGGAAGGAGGGCAGCAGCAGATGGGAGTGGGGAACACAGTGGGCCAGGGCTGAATTGGCACCCAGACTGAGACCACCGCGCTCCAGGGGACAGGTGCCCGGTGACCCAAACCAAAGACACTCAAAGGCCAAGGTTCCCAGGGGCTGAAACAGACAGGCAAAGCAGCAGCCCTGGGGGATCCCGACTGCTCCCACCGTGCCCGGGCTGGGAGACTTCTCCTCTGCACCTCACCGAGGGACACGGTGGCTTCCAGGCACACCCTGCGTCCCCACCAAGGCCAAGGCCTCTCCAGGTTTCCCGCAGTTCCTTTCTCTGAGGCCGCAGGGCAGGCAGGGCTCGGTGCGGGTCCTGCGGTCGCAGGGTCCCTGGGGGCCAGCAGCTGGGTCATGTGCTCTGCTCAGCTCCCTGCATCCCAGGTGCCTGGCAACAGCGCCCAGCTGTGCAGGCTGCGGCTGTCCCCAAGCCCAGCTCCCTCAAGGGGCCACCAGCCCGGCTGGGGGGGCAGGCCACAAGTGACAAGCGGGGACACACACACACACACACACACACACACAATCACACACAGCAGGGCTCTCCCGGCACAC